CAATGAAAAGGGTAGCGGTCGTATGCCAATTACCATGTTTCTCTTTTATTAGTGTAGATTCCATCTTCTTAAGTAGGAGTGTCTTTGAATATATTAGATTGAACCAAATTAAATGGCCCACTCTTTTAGATTAAAAAATGGTTTGATTTTTGGCAGTTACATGTTTCAACTTAATACTAACATTTTCCCCGTGTCACAAATGAAGAGTATGATGGCAAAAACTCCTGAAAATTTATTAAATTGCAAAATCACACATACGGTGTTTAAACTCCAAATGTACAAAGAACTTATGGATTTAAGGATGACTGTCAAACCTATAATATTTATTTCAAAGGAAAGTCTCTATTAAAAATATAATACAGGAAATGAGAGGAATAAAGGAAATTATTTGGGGTAATAGTTTATAACATCCTGAGGGATATTGTTTCCTTTACACCTCTTTAATTTTCCACATTCATTTCATAAAGAAGTGAAGAATTTGGAGGGGGTTCAAACAGCCACTAATGTAAGAACTAATATAATTGAAAATTTGGAAAATAGATTTGTTCTAAGGCTAACTTTCATATTAAGAGGAAAACCATTTCACATAACTAGGAAAAGCCGAAGATAAAAAATGTATAACTAATTTTAAGCAGTTTTTATAAATAATACTTTAAAATAGATATAAAGTAGTATATCTAACTGTTTACTCTTTCTTGCCAGCAGAAAACACACCACTGTAATAAGGAGATCTGGTATACACTGGAAGTCCAATCTTTCTGACATATTAATCTGTATTTAAGAGGGACAGTTCTGCTCCATTAGATCACTCCAACTCCCTGTTTCCTGTCACTGTGCCATCCCCAGCAGCCAGCCAACTCCAGCGTGAGAACTAAACTCTGCCTGCCACCTTCTTTTGTAAACAAAATTCTATTGGAACTCCAATAAACTCGCCCATTTATGTATTATTTATGGCTGTTTTCACCCCACAGTGGTAGAGTTGACCAGTTCTCACAGAGATATAATTGGCGAGACCTAAAATATTTACTATCTGGTCCTTGACCAAAAAAGTTCATTCAACCCCGGCATAGAGTGATGTCCTTGTCTACATGTCAGTGCTAGCTCTCCACCCAAGTCCCCACATTCCAGGCAAAAGACCACGTGGAAGGCAAACATTTTCATTTTCAGAAGGCCAACTTGAACTTGCACATTTCACGTCTCATTTGTCCCACTGGTGTGAATGTGGTGGCGGAGAAATGTGCCTTCTGAACGGTGTGCGGGTGGGTCTGTCACTAAAAGGACCAAGGGTGAGTGCATACGGAGAACAAGGAGCGGTCTCTGCCACAGCTATCTGTGCAGAAAGAAGGTGGTGTGGGTGGAAATGAAGGTGGGAAGGAGAAGCCTCCTCAAGTAGCTGCCTTCTTTTTGGAATGAATAAATTTTGACAATGAGGAGCATTTCACAAAGTGGAAGCCTGCTCTGTCCAGGAACTTTGCCTCGTCTGATTTCTAGTTACATGTAATTCACCCAGAGCTTCATTACACTAATATTTTAAAGAGCAGATCACTTGTCATCAGGGAAATGCAAGTTAAAAGTACAATGCACATCTTCAGGATGGCTTGAAAAAGCCAACTTTTGACAAGGATGGAAGCTAGCGTTCTCACCAAAAATATGTACAATATCCATATCAATGTAACGTGTAATCTCTAAAAACTGCAAACTACCCAAATGCCCATCAACAGTGGAAGGTATATTCATACAATGAAGTACTGTTCAGCAATGATAATAATATGCATACATTTCATAAAAAGTTGAGTAAAAGACACAAAAGAGTACACAGAGTATGGTTATATTTATATAATGCGCAACATTGGCTAAATTAATCTTAAAAGTCAGGAATAATACCTCAGAGAGTGGTACTTTGGAGAGTGGCTAGCCACTGGGTATGAGGGTGTAGGGGAAATTGAAATCATCTCAAATGATACACTTAAGACTGATCTATTTTTACATTATCTCTTATTTCAATAAAGAACTCTATTTCTTGATTTGTGCACTAGTTTTCTGAGTATGTTTATTTTATGAAAACTAAGCTGCATATATAACTGGTGAATTTTTAAATATGTACTCAACTTAAAAAAAAGTCTACCTAAAATAGAAAAATAAAGTAGATG